CTACATCATACATTACTTTACAAAGAAACAAGAAGAGAAATGGAAACGAAAATACAACGTGCAGATAATTTAATTTCAAAGAAGAAAAAATATGAACATAAAGATGAAATTTATCTTCATTATACATTTGAAAATGGACCATTATTGAATTTCAAAAAAGAATATCGTCAAATATGGGAAAAATACTATGTTTATCCAGGATCACGTTTGAAAAATACACGTCTCATTCTTGGGACAATATTAAATCGAACATTACAAAGTCTTTTGATTCACAAAAAGCCTAAACGAGACATGCTGAGGAAAATGGAAGCAACTACAGAAGCAGCTCGTAGAACAATAAATGAAAGACTTATTCATTGATACATGTTTTTTTGTTCATCAAATATGTTACAAGTATTTCTTTCTTGTTAGAACTCTAGTTCGCTGTTTTATTATTTTTTTGTTAACATTAGATATTTTCTTTTGTATTATTATTAGATCGTGTTATCTGTTAAGCATAATGTTTCTAAATTTTTTTCTTCTGTTCCTTATAGATAACCTCTCGAATATGAGAATTTCTTTCATTATCAAAATCATCATATGTCTTATTATATTATGAATTTCAAAATTCATACAGTTGATATTTGTTTTTTCTCGTGTTTCTTTTCTTACTTTCTAAATGTTCACCTTCAACTTTGAAATAATTCCCTGTATTATATCTTCTAGATATATTCTTCACAATACTATGTCGACCAACCATATCTATCAAGAGGAAAAAACACTATTGGAAAAATCGTTGTAAGTATCTCATATTGTCTTTAAAAAAATATGAACTTCCAAACAAAACCTGTTTTTCTCTTTCTTATTGCCCAAGAATCAATACCAACCACAGTCAAGTTGTTCATACTCCAATACAACCAACAGATGGAGGCGACCTAAATGATCCAATTGTAGATCAAATCTTATCGACTGACATCGTCATCAACACCCAACCAAATATTCAATTGAGTGAGACAAACACCATCGCAACTCAAGTCCCATCAGTATCAACTCATCTTGAAAATGTTATTCCACGAAGAAGGCAAGCAACCAATCACACACAACGAACACAACAAAACCAAAGAATACAACAACAATATATGACAACACCACGCCAACGATTACAAGCACCTCATCATCATAACTACCACCAACACCAGCATCAAAATCTAAATCAAGCACAGAGACAGCAACCACAGCGTCAACGTTTCAATTACGTACGAAGACAACAACAAAACCAGCATCGACTTCAACAGCAACAAAGACCCGAAACTTACCAACAACGTTCTCCTCAATGGCAACACAGGTCATATGAACGACCATCCGACCTATTCTACAGAATACTACAAGAAGCGTATGTCGAGCAAAACTATCAACGTCTACTAGAAGAATACGAAAACCCACCACTTCCGCCAGATCTAAGTGAGCTGCCTGCACTAGAAGACAATCCCGACATCTTACTTGAAGCATACGAAAGTGGAAAGATGGATGAAAAGTGCAAGTGGGAACAAGAACAACTGCAACAGTTCGAGCAACAAGCTTCGATTGAACAACAGCTACTCGACCAAGATGAACTCGAACAAGCCGAAAACATCGAAAGTATTACTCGAATCCTCCACGAAGAAAAAAACACCCGTAACCTACAACAACTTACA